TGGGCAACTGAGGTTTTGTTCATAAAATCTTTTCCTACCCCAATGTCTTCAAGAGTTCTACCTAACCTCTGTTCCAGCCGGTTCAGCATTTCTGTTTTAATATTTAGATCTTTAATCCATTTTGATTTTCGTTTAGTGCATGGTGAGAGATACAGGTCTAGTTTCAATCTTTAACCTCTTTATTTCTTGGTGCCTTTGTCCTCCAACATTGTTTCATAAATTAACTAAAGAAGGAATGTAAGAAATGCAGCCCAACTCTTTGTCACTAGTGTAATTTGGAATTAAACTCTCAAATCCCAACACCTCTGGTTATAGCATAACTTTGTGAACCATCTGAAGTCTTAGTGACCTTCACAAGCCACAGACTTAACTGCCATTGGGGACAAGGCCTAGTAGCTGTGTATCAGAAGCCATGTCACTATACCATGCAGGCAGTCCTACTCTACTAGTTTCAAATTTATGGCATATTGTCAAGTTATTAGTCAAGAACTCTACAAAGGAGTCTGATACTGGAAATTCACTGAACTTTGCTATGCTTCATCTGGAAGAAATTACTCAATTTATGACTGTGTTTTCATGCATAGGAATGTGTGTTATGATTAATAATCAATTTTATTAACCAGCATGAAAGAAATATTAAGACTTTCTTGTAGACATATACATCTATTTTTGAACTTATTATATTTTTATGGTTTTACTGGAGGTATAATTTTACATTTCATAAATTCACTCATTTTAAGTACAAAATACAATGTTTAGTAAATTTACAGAATTATGCAATCCATCTCAACAACCTAATTTCAGAACATTTTCATCACCCCAAAAAAGAATCTCATGCCCAGAACTCTGTATTCCTCCTCTCACTTAGCCCTACAATCTCTAGGCTACTACTCCTCTTTCTGTCATAATTTTGGCTTTTTTAGACAATCCATATAAATTATATCATACAATATGTGAATGTTTGTACTTAGAATCTTTTACCAAGTACAACGTTTGTGAGTTCCATCCATATTGTAGCATGTGTTGATACTGTTTCTTTTTACTGTCAAATAGAATTGTATTATAGAGATTACCACATTTTGTTCATCCATTCACCAGTAGATGGACATGGGAGCTGTTTTTACTTTGGGCTCTTATGAATTATGCCATTGTGAAGACTTATATACAAGTCTTTGTATAGATAAATTGTCTTAGTTACTTTCTCATTGCTGGGACAAGATACCTGACATCTACAAGTTAAAGGAGGAAAATCTTATTTTAGCTTATAGTTTTTAGAAGTTTCAGCCCATAACTGGCTGTTTCTAAGGCAGGCCAGCATGGCAAAGGACAGACAGAAGAGAAAGGAGTTACAGCAAAGCAGGCCAGAAGCAGAAGTCTTCCTTCTGCTTTTCCTTTTTTATTCCACTCAGGCTACAAGCAATTGGTTGGTGCCATTCACACCCACGGCAGGACTTCCTTCTTCAGTAAATCCATTCAGTCACACCCAAACCACTCAGAGGACTAATATAGTATCCCACACCCATGATCCAGCCATTTCCCAAAGCCCCACCTATGAGAACATGAGGCTTTGGGGAGAGATCCATATGTAAGCCATAACACAAGTGTTTTAGTTTTTCATATCTAGAAGTAGGGCTGTTGAGTAATGATGACAAATTTATGTTTTTATTTTAAGAAATGGCTAAAATATTTTTCAACATGACTGCAACATTTTACATTCCCATTTGCAATGTAAGAGGTTTCAAGGTTCTCTATATGGTGGTCAATAATTGTTACTGTCTCTTATTAATAACAGAATTCTTGGGGATTTGAATAACCCATTCTAGTTTTGCTTTATATTTCCCTAGTGACCAATGATGTTGAACATCTTTTCATGCATCAGTGGTCATTTTTATGTCTTCTTTGATGAAATACCTATTCAAACTGTTACTTATGGACAATACTTTAAGGAATAAACACAAGACATAATTAAAAGATCAGAGTTAGGAGAGGTAAATGAAAGGTAAATTATATAGCTTCAGAAATACTCCAACGGCTTACATTTAAGCACCTCAAATTATTTTGGACTCATTTATTTTTGAATATAAAATGTAGCAAAGGTCTCAGCAAACTCTAACTCCAAAATCCTATTATTTAATTCCCATTTCATAGGACAACAGAAATTTTTTTTAGGACAACACAAATGTTGAATACAATAATCAGACACTCATTTGATAAACAACTTTGCACCTACAGATCTTTCTTTAAAATACAGCACTCATGGTTAGAGACAATGGTAAGTAATTTTAATTGTTCTAATAAATTTGTTTTACTGGACTCATAAAAGGAATATTATCCATAAGGAAATTAAATATTTTAAATTATATATTTTTAAAATGAGTCAAAATCTAATAAATCTTCATAAAACTGCCCTTACTTTCATTTGCAGATCCTCAGAACTTTCTGTTGACATGTACAAAGAGAGCAGAACTGGCAAAGTATGCGTGACAGCCCGTGCATGTTCTGAAGTGTGCCGCCCAATCTGTCCTAAGGCCCAGGCGGCGGCAGCCTTAACATGATCCTCTGGCTCTTCTGAGAGGCAGACTGACAACTGGGGTACACCCTGCAGCGGTGATCAAGAGAGCAAGGCTTATAAATCTGGAGCAGGATTAGAGAGTCTTCCCTGTCTCTCAAACATTAGAAGAAATCATTTCAGCCTGGATCTTTTTTTCCTAAATGGTGCAGTAAATGAGCACATCACAGGGGCTGTCATTTCTTAAGTCAATAAAATGACTAGAACTAAATTACCTTAATTATCTACTTTGACAACCTGACTTAACTAAAAATAGCTATTTCCCACCAGATAGGGGTACATTTCACCAAACTACAGATGACATAGATGAGGCAAAACCATATTCCACTGTGACAAACTAAAAATGTTTAGGAACTTAAAAAGTTTCACTTTCCGTTGTTAAAAAAAAGTTAACTTAGAATCTTTAATGGGATTACCTTTTTGTCAAATATTTAAAAATCTGAGAACAATAGTAGACTTGAAATGAATCAATCTTTTGCTCCAGCCAGTTATATTTTATAATCCAAGGGGGATTAGAACACCTTACTGCAATAACCAGGAGAAATGAAGCAAGAACTCACCTTGGAAATGATCACTGCCATGGCCAGGTTCTCAGAATGAGCAGCCACATAACCGAGCATCATGATGCCAGGCAGCCGTGTGTTCCCTCTGCAGGACCCAATGCAGTCAGTCACTGAGGCCACCCCTCCTGCGTTAACGACCAGCTGTGAAAGCTAAGAGGCAAGAACAAGAGCTACATAATCAGCACAGAAAGCATAAGATGACCTTTAGCTTAGCATGCTTATGCTTTACTTAGGATCTTAAAACAACTGGTAAAATTGAAATATCATTAGAGAAACTACTATATTTATTAAAAGAGGCATAAAATATAATATACTGCCATTTCAAATACACAAATTTCTCGCTGTGACAGACTTTACTCTGTGGTTCATTTTTTAATCCATCAACAGCACAACTTTTATCCCTAGTATAACTGATGTCAAAATTCTTCACCTAGACATTAAGCCTAGGGCTAGTTCAGAACTAGCTAACCACTGAAAGCCCCGATCACAATGTGTGAGTATGAAGCAGATTAATCACTCAATGGCAAAAGACAACATCAGACTGGAAATATGCTAACCTAATTGCCTCCCCTTTGCACTGTCATTTGGAAAAACCTAAACTAAATAAAGATGTTAAATGAAATAAAGAAAAGAGGACTTTAACATATAATGCATGAAAACTGATTAGTCCAAATATACATCGAAAAGACACCGCTTCAGAATCAACGTGGGTTTGTCTCGTCACCTAAGAGCTCAGAGCTGAAGCTTGCTGTGTAAGACCAGCTCCTAGAATGGTCGGACAGGCCGGATCTCTGTGTCTGTCTCAACCTGGAGGTCTAATTTCCTCTCTACTCCCAGCTGACATAAAACGATACAGAGGTCCACAGTGTAGAAATGGAAAGCTGGAAGTGATTGGACACAGATTCAAACTCAAACTCCATTGATATAACCCAGTGGTTCTCAACAGAGGGGAATTTTGTGCACTAGGGAACATCTGCAATGTGTGGAGACATTTCTGACTGTCACCTCTCGGGGGAGGGGTGCTACTGGCATCTGGTGAGCAGGGATCCTGCTAAGGGATGATTCTGCAGTGCGTAGAACAGCTCGACACACACACAGTTACCTGGTCCATAATGTGGTTACTACTGACAATGAGAGAGCCCGACCTAACCCGACCATGTAGCAAAACCTTGGGGCCCCTGAAACAAACTGATGCTTTCTTTAAACACTAAAACTGTGTGTTATCATATCTTGAAGCTTTTTAAAAATCTTTTTTACCTCGGGCGTATGTTTTGCAATCTCTCTAATTAAAGTGCAAGCACTTTTCTTCACATATTCATCTTTGTCCTTCAGACAGGTAAGTACAACTGGAAAAATCTCTGCTTCAACAACCATTTCTGCCAGATCCACAGAATGTTTTGCAATTTGACCGAGAGCTGAAAGGACCTGGTGCTGTTAAGCAGAAAACACATCAAAACATTACTATGTGGAGCCCACTAGTTCATTACAGAGTTCAGATGTAATTTAAGCAGCTTTATACATGTTCAAAGTCCTCTGTAAAAAGGAAAAATGAGATATCTAACAGAGCATTCCAAGTTTTGAGGCTTTCACAACCTAGTCTCATACTCATCTTTTTAAAATTCTCTAATTTCCAAATTAGCTCTGTACTATTAAAAACTGTACTGCCGGTGATTAAATAATATAACCACTGGAGGAACACTATTTCTTGTGAAGCTTAATTTGTGACATATGTGGTAACAGTATAAAAATGATTAAGCAGAACATCTTATTTTTAGCATGATATTAACACTATTTCAAAGAACTTTTCCACTGCATAGTTAACACTTATAATTTTTAAATTCTAGAATATAATTATTAGAATACAAAGCATAATTGATTACTGTTAACTGAAGTATGACCATTGTCATAAGAAACTTGAATATTTCAGTGGGAGCCTAGAAAATCTTCAGTTTCCTTCCAATCCTGAGATTTGATTTCTTATTTTAATTGTTGATGCTAACACTGATGCTACTTTTAACCTTCAACATCACACATAGTTTTCCCAATCACATCTTCACTGCCCAATACTTACAGCATTATTTCACATATTAAAATATCAGTGACATAATGTGTTCGTGTGTTCAACGGTGATTTACTAATTACGTTTTAGCTATATAATTCGAATCTGTACACATTTCCATTTTGCTAGGCTGTAGGAAGGCTGGTTTGTTTGCTGCTCCACTGCATTGTAAAATACCTTCAATTTAGCATCGGGGTTGAGGATCATCTGGGCTAAGTGAGCAATAGCTCCTGCGTCCACGACTGTCTGTGCTAGCTCTGGAGAATGCTTGGAAATGTCACTGAGGGCCAAGGCAGCAATCCTTTTCAAAGCAATTTCCGGCTCCTGGATACAGAGTACTAAGAGAGGAACAGCTCCCGCATCCACCACAGCTTGTGACAGCTCTGTGGGCCCAAGAAAAGTGAGTGAGAATGGGTAACTGGGCCTCACCCTGACAGACACAGCGGAGGAGAAAGACCACAGTGTACATCACGCTCAACATCTGCACTTCCAATCAGTCCTCCTGGTTTCAGAAACCTTGTGGACCAGTCCTGGGCTGAAAAGAGCACAGGTCAATCAATGGGCCTCTGTTTACATGAGCACGTTTCAGGTGGATTAGGCTGAAATGGCTTGTTCTTCTTTTTTTTTTAATGAGCACAAACAGATGTCAGCTGTTTAAGCTCTGACAGTTCTGCACTTCTCAATAGGCAAGCATTTTATGTATGTTTACAATAGAAAGAAAGTACCTAAAGTTTACCGATGACACAAATTAGGCAGTATTTTGTGCTATTTATGGGCAAACATTAACATGAATAGTGTGCCAATAATGTCAATTTTAAAATTTCTTTCATCATATAAGATTAATATTTAAAAACACTTCATATAAAATGAAAAGCTGTTTTCATTGTGCATTAAAAAGACTTTCAAAAATGAGATTTGCAACTGAGCAACATACTTTTTTATATATAAATGTTAATGTTTACATAAGATATATATCTAATATATATATTAGAACATTTTATTTGGCCTGCAAAGCTCAATCCCACTTCACCATGACCCGCTGCACCCTTTCTCTTCCCCTCTTTAAATTTCCCTTCTGCTCAGGTAAACACTGAAATGTAATCCAAACAACCTGGCTGTCATTTAAAACTGATCTCTCATAATGTACAAAAGCATCCATAAAACCCCATCTACAGTTTACCAAGCTGAAAAACTGGATTTACTTAATACATTTTCCATTATGCTCCCTTACCTGCATTATGTCGTGAAGTACATCCAAGTGCCCAGGCTGCAGCTTCTTTGACTCCAGGGTCAAAGTCTTCCAAGCATATCACCAGTGCATCCAGGGCTCCGCAGTCCACTATGGCCTGGGCTCTCTGGGGAGAGTGTTTACCAACTGCTCGCAACACAAAGGCAGCCGCTTTCTTGTAGAAACGCTACCAGGGTAAGAGAGACCAAACCCAAAATGAATTGTGCACTCACATACACAAAATCTAAAGTAGAAAAAAGGAACATTAAAATGACATTAATATAAATAAAGCTCAATTGTTTTTGAATACAAAAGGTGCAAAGCATCCTGCAAAGTCATTTTGATTATTTTTTAGTCCCCAATTGCTTCCATTCAGTAACTAAACTGAAAACAAGGTCAGTTTTAGATTAGATTTCAAATGTTTTACTCTAAAGCATGCACTTTAAAATTCTACAGAATAAAAGATAGTGATATTCCACAACTTCATAAATTAATGGTACTATGCATCTGCATTACACAGAAAGGCACTGTTTGACTCATGGGTCCTCTTGGATTATTAGCATGTGTAAGTAAACTCTGTCAGCTGAAGAGTTCATTTTCTTTACTTGCCCTCAGTGTCTAAGCATAGTTTCATGACCTCAACTAATATTTCTGGTATCCTGATGGAGACCACCCTGAGCAAGCTGCAAATTCATAAATTGGCTTTTCCTAATAAAAGTCTGAGTCTGCCTATTATCCCACAATGGCTTCCCTGAAGAGGCAGCAATTGGTGTGTGGGAACAAAACAACTCCCCAGGCCACTGGCTACGGCAGAGGTCTCAATGATCTGTGACACTGTGACATCTTGGATGGCAGCTAAGAGCGGTGTGACTTATACATAAAACTTCCATAGAGGCGGAAATTAATCTCTGGCAAGAAACAAATTTCCCATTAATCTATGAGCTGTTCCTGCTAGAATGTCTCATTCCCTTGTTGCTACGACCCTGCTCCAGTAAGTAAGTGTTCTCCACTCCAATTTCCTGCACTGCCCTTACCCCTTCAAAAAGCTGCCTGTGGCAAGCTTCAGGAGATAGTGTCTTAGCCTGATGAGAGCTCTGATCACCCTGGGCCCCTATTTCTGCAGTAAAGACCTTGTCTTTCCTGCTGCCATTCCCTTGGTCAGGTGATTGTAATAGCCATGCTCCACTTAACAATCATCATATACACACGAGGCAAAACATCCATGAAATGTTTTTAAACTTCGCCTGGAAAATAAATAAGCCAAACAATGGGATATAAACTATTTGTCTCCTCTAGAAATGGATTTTTACAAAGAGAAAAGCAAATTACCATTATGTGAATTTTAAAAATTCCTCTATATTTATATTTCCTGTACATAAATTTTATGATTAAAAAATGAGAAACTGAAACTGACATACAAGAGTTTCTCTTCCTATTGTTATAAAAATCAGTTATAGGAGTATTTTAACCATAACTGCTGTTTTATGATTAAAACAACACAGTAATAGTCCCGTAACTCTTTTATTAATAAAATCCATTAATCTACATTCTGAGTTTCTATTTCTTTACAATGACAACTAAAAAGTAACTAGGTAACTACTAACCATATCAGCAACTACTTTGGAAGCCTTCTATTGGGCTAAAATAGTTATATAATAAGAATTACAGGAGACAGAAAAAACACAGGTATATTTTTAACACATTATATCTAAAAAATCATGTATGTTGCTATTCTGAGAAATATGCTATCTTATTACCAATGTTTTGATGTGCCATGTTGTCCTTAGTTTCTTAAGTTAAGGAAATAACCCAATTTCCACTAACTTGTTGTAAGAATTAGGGTAAAGTTTTCAAGTAGCTTTCCATAGATTTTCTTTTAATAGTATAAAAAATACATTTATTGTCAGTACTTTCAGCTAATCTGACCTTGTATTTGCAGAACTATCAAATTTACATTTTACTGGTTTCAATAGTCGCTATTAACTACAGTGCCTAGAATTCATATTTTCTACTTCTCTTTCTCCTACTTTTTACTTCTTCCAAATTTATAATCCTCCTCTCTCTTATTCATACTGAAAAGAATCACTTAAAAAAAAAAGTAAAACCACAGGACTTTGTACCTCATAAAGAGATTAAACCTGAGACATGATTTATAGGCTGGTAGGTGAAAGAGACATAAGCTTGTGAATAATGTGTTGTGTTCTGAATGACTCTTCACTTTTCTGCCTAGTATTTTTTGTCTCTTTACAACTAATAGAGGACCTCCTATGTTAGACACAAAAACACAAGACCCTGTTCTCAAAGAGAAGAGTTAAGAATCCAAGAGGAAGGATGTCTAACAGTATTTTATAGAGAAAAAACATCTACAACAAAAATAAAAGTTTTGGGATTCCTTGTGGAGACATTAGTAAATGATTCTAGAATCTATAAAAAAGCACATTTAGGATTTATGTTTTAAATTCCGGTAAAATACATATATCACAAAAAATGTACTGCTTTAAACTTGTAATTCAATGGCAAGGAATGTTTTCATGATGTTGTATATTCACCACTATTTAGTTCCAGTATATTCTCTTCACCCCCCAAAAATGCCTTTAAGCAATCCTTCTGGTTCTTTCTCCCAGAAGAGTCACCAATCTGCTTCTGTCTCTATGGATGTCCATATTCGGTATATTTCATCTAAACAGTATCCCATAATACATGGCCTTTTGGGTCCTTCACTTGGCATGATGTTTTCTACGTCATCCATGTTACAGCATTTATTAATACATTACTCATTTTTCTGACTGCATAATAGTTTGTTGTACATACACACATTTCATTCATCCACTCATCTGCTGATAGACTTGGGTTCCTTTCACTTTTTGGCTAATGTGAATAATGCTACTTTGAATATTTGTGTACAAGCTGATTTTTTGTGCGCTTGTTTTTTGCAGGACTGAGAATTGAAGCAAATGTCCTGTGCATGCTTGGTAAGCACTCTACCACTGAGCTGCATCCCCAGCCCTTGTTCTGTGTATCTTGATAAGTTTCCCACAATGGCCTGGAGCTTGTGATTCTCATACCTCAACCTCCTAAGTAGCTAGGATGTTATGATAAAATAGCAAAGTATAATCAATAGTCCATGACCCCCAAATATGGCACAGCATTATATAGGAAGGGAACATGTTGGGGTATGTTTAGACAGGGTTAAAAAGAGTAGACATGCTTATTTACTTAGTAAAAACTGCTTTATCAAACCTATTAGGCACATTCTCTCCCTTCTGCCTGCTTCAAGGCTGTCTCTCAATACAGTACCAGAGTTCATCTGCATGTATAGATTGCTGAAGGCAACTATTTGCTTGCCTAGAGCCCTACAGTCTTCCCTAAGACTGATCCTATAACACTTTAAAATTCCTTTATACAAAAATACTGCTTAGTTTACAATTCCTCAAAAATGTTTAAATCAATTACAGTAGACCCTTGACTTAGAACTCAATCAGTTCCCGAGGGCTGTTGTAACTTAAGTTGGTAGTAAGTCAATACAGCTGAGATCTGGATGTTTGCCTGGATACACGCTATAGATAACAAGAGGCAGATGAATCTTTCATTAACCTAATTACCTCAAGTTGTTTGTGTGTCAGGCTGGTCATAACTTGAGGGTCCACTGTATCTCCTTACAATAACAACAAAGACTGCGTATAATCCCCCAAACAAAATAACCTAAGAAATAGTATGCACAGTTAAGAGAATTTAAGGTTGTATTAACATCCTAATAATTATAAAACCTACAAGGTTATGACTGTGTGCAAACTATTGATTTTTTTAGAAACCCAAAAAGAATAACATTTAAGTTTTTCTTTAAAAAAAAATTCTTACATTCTGCTCTGCCAATGAATAAACAAGTTGTGGAAGAATGTCGCCCTTTACAACTGCTTCTGCTAAGTCATCGCTGTAATTGGCCAGTCTCCCAAGAGCCAAAGCAGCAGTCTGTTGGATTGTTGGGACCACATCGAGAAGAAGAGGCCGCAGCAAAGATATCACACCTGAGTTAAATTATGAAAAGCAGAAATCAGCAAAATTTAAATTAAAAAGCAAGCACACAATTCAGTGCACATTTGCAGACAAGAAAAGTAAGGGTAAAAATCAGTAAAAACAAAAATGTACACTAAAATCTAGTGGATTTTAGCTTAAAAAGTGGCTAATGGATAAAGATACAAAATCATACAAGCTGTAATTATCAAACAAGCAACACAGCATGGTAATAAGAAACTCTTTAGGGTTAGCCAAGAGTTAAAAACCTCTGACTCGGCAAGTAAACCGCTATGTGACCTGAGAGGGCAGTTAGGAGGAACACAGAGTGGGTAAGGTATGCGGTATGATGCCCAGACTCTGGCCAGCAGGAAAGGGGTTGGTAGATTTTCCCATGAACCTTTGCAGATCCTACCTCAAAAGGCTTATTTCAGGTCCTTTCTTCTCAATGAAATCTTAAATTTGGTCTTCTCTCTCATTCCAACTGAACATACAATTTATTTCAGAAATTTTATCATGATCTATCTCAGACCCAAGGGGGTAAGGAAGGCCATTCAGCTAGGGACTCACACTCATAAAAGGCTGCATAAATATTGTTGTCAATTAAATTCCTTGAGATAAGAAAGTATACTGTATTACTAGCTCTCATAATATTCATCCTAGGATTGACTATGTAATAGGTATATCACAACAATAATAAAAGTAACTTATTTATTAAACATTCATCATATCTAAGCACTGTTCTATGGAATTTTTTCTGTATTAATTCACTTCTTTCACAACCAACCTATGAAGGAGACCCGATTATTGTCCATTTTGCAGATGAAAAAATTGAGGCTGAGGAAGGTTAAGTAATTTGCACAACTAGTAAATGGTAAAACAAGGTTAGAATTCAGACAATCTATTGATAATTATTAAATATTATCCACTGGAAATTGAGGGGATGGGGAAAGAGATACTAATAATAGTTACACTTTGGTTATTTTACTAGATATTTTAACTCTTTATATTAACTTTGTTTACTATAAAGTCTGCAAAATCACCAAGTTCTATTTCTGCTTTACTGATGCTGCTTAGAGTCTAAGACAATGACAGAATTCAAACTGGAACAAAGTGCCCTCAACTTTCTAAACCTATACCAGTTTATTAAACTCATTATCTCTTGTTTTTACAATCCTATCTTGGGGACACAAAAACAAATATTACTAATATTCTTTTATCATCTTATATCCAGAAACATTTAAAATAGAAATAAAAACTTTTCTAATTACACATGAGATTAGATCAACAGAGATAGTATCATCAAACAACAAAGCTTTTCAGTTTCCGGTTTCGTTCAGTCATCGTTTTCATGTCACAGGTCGCTGAATCAGAACATCCTCCGAGGCCCAGAGCTGCCACGTGCGAACGCCACTCTAGCTAGTGAGCTATGGGTGGGACAGAGGTCCGGCTCCCTCTGGAGTCACAGCTCACGTGAGATGAGGCCAATGTTTGTAGATGCCTTTATATTATTATCTGCACTTGATAGAGAACTTCCGAAATCGCACAAGAAAAAGTTTAAATCACAGAATAAGGTACTAGAATAAGTACCAAATGTTGACACAGGTTATTTCTGGAAAGTTGGATTTAGGAGAATTTGTTGAAGCCAGGAACTCCTTCAGTCCCAGAAGTTTGCGAAGGTGAGGCCAGAGGATTACATATCCAAGTCCAGCCTGGGAAATTTATGGATTTAGCTAAACTCTATCTCAAAGTAACAAACAAAAAAGGGCTGGGGATGTAACTTCTTACAAAAGCCCTGGGTTCAATCCCCAAGTCAGGGGAAGAAAAGGATCTCTTTATAGTTTGCTTTATTACCTCATTATTGTTGTTTTACTGTGGTAAAATATAAACAATATAAAAATTACCACTCTAACACTTTTTTCTTTTCTTTTTAATTTTAACTTTTAATTTTTTATTAAGTTTATTGGTACATTTTAGGTATAAAATACATTTATATACATCATTGGGATCTGGTACCATTACATGAGTATCTTGGTTCTTATTTTTTCCCCTTCCCCTGCCCTCCCTTCACCCCCTCCACCCTTCCCTATTTACAAAGACTTTGTTTCCATTTTCTCCTTTTCCCATTTTTTTTCTTTTCCCTTCTTTTCTTTCCCCTACCCCCCCCACTTCCCCTGCTCCTTTAGACGTTTTCTTCCTATTTCAATTATCAATTATACATTTTGATCCTTATTTACACTTTTAGCTTTTCACACCAGAGAAACTTCAGTATTTACACATTTGTCCTATTTATTTCACTTTTATTAGTATATGTTTGCAGTACATAATGATAAGATTCATTGCAGGGAATGGATATGTGTATATAACACAACTCAATTCTTTTTCTTTCCCATTTCCACCACCCTCCCTTTTATTTTGCCAGCATCAGATTCATCTATGTATGTCATTATAAAGTTAATTGTCATATAAACAGATTAACAACCAGACTAATAGGGCAAAAACATAAAATACATAAGACAATTCTATTAAATCAAGGTACACTTTTACATACATTATTCATGCTAAATAACAATAACTTTTTCTCTCTCTCCTTTTCCTATTATCTGTTTTTTGTTTGCACTTTACTTCTATACTGGGTTTTTCATATCATTGAAACTATATGATATTTAAGCTTATGTGTCTGATTTATGATCTCAAGGTGCATTGATTTTCCTGCAACTGACTCAAGTTTATGCTTATGGCAGAGTAGTACTGCATTGTGCATAAACACTATGCTTTCTTTATCCATTCATCTGTTGATGAATGTATAGGCTATTTCCAAGACTTAACCTATGATGAATCATGCTGCTATAATCACAGATATGCCTACATCTCTGTAGTATGACGTCTTTAATGGGAAGATACCAAAAAGGGGAAATGCTGGGTCAAATGGAATTTCTAGTTTTAGTTTTTTGAGTTTACTGATTTCCAAAATGGTTGTATCAGTTTAAATTCTCACCAACAATGAAGAAGGGTTTCTTTATACTCAACAGGCTTGCCAGCATTTGTTATTGGTTGACTTTTTGATAAGTCATTTTTTTTTCTGGAGATGGAATCTCAATGTTAATTTGCATTTCTCCAGTGGCCATTGATGTTGAACATTTTTTCATGTATTTATTGGCCATTTGTATTTCATTTCAAATGTACCTATGCATTTCAGATATCCATTTTTTGACTGAGTCTTTAATTTGGGGGGGATCTAATTTTTTTAGTTCTTTATATATTCTAAATATTAATCTATTGAAGAGTAGCTGGCAAAATTGTTTCCTGTTCTGTAGGTTGGCTCTTCACTCTGTTGGCAGTTTCTTTTGCTGTGCTGAAGCTTTTTGATTTGATATGATCGCATTTACTGATTCTTGGTATTATTTTTTTGTGCAGTCAGTCTTGTCAAAAAAGTCTTTGCCTACACCTATGTCTCCATGCGTTTTACTTTTTTTGCCTTCCAGAAGATTTTCTATTCTAATGTTTGTATCTCTGATCCAATTTAGTTTAGTTTAGGGCATAGTGAGAGGTAAGGGGTCATGGTTCAGTCTTTGGGATGTGGAAATCCAGTTTTCCCAGCACCATTCGTTGAAGAGCTATCTTTCCTCCAGCAAAGGTGTTTTGTCCCTTTGCCAAAAAGGTAGCTGAATGTGCCTGGAGTTCTTCCTGCATCCTCTATTCTGTTCCATTGATCCACAATTTTTTTTTTGTCAATACCATTCCTTTTTATCACTGTAGTACTGTACTGTAACTTGAAGTCTGGGCTCATGATGCCCCTGCCTTGTTCTTGTTGCCCAGAATCATTTTGCTATTCTAGTTTTCTGATTCATATAAATTTTAGGATTGCTTTCTCCATATCTGCAAGTAATGCTATTGGTTTTGATTGAGATTGCATTAAGTCTCTATAAAAGTTTTAGAAGTATGGCCATCTTTGCTATATTGGTTCTGCCTATCCAAAAGGAGGGTTTCCTTCCACTTTCTGATATTCTCTTTGATTTCCTTTTTCAGAGTATGATAGTTTCCACTGTAAAGGTCTTTCTCTTTTTTGATTAGGCTAACTGCTAAGTACTTCATTTTTCTTGATGCTGCTGTGAAAGGCATTGTTTCCCTACTTTTGCCTGCAGTGAGTTTGTTATTTGCAACCAAGGATATTACTGAGTGTTGAGCACTGACCTTGTATCCTGCTACTCCACTGAATGTGATTATTAGTTTTAGGAGACTTTTGGTGCGCGTTTGGGGTCTTCTCTCTAGAGGATCACGTCATCTGCAAATACTGATAACTTAACTTCTTCCTTTCCCATCAATATCTTTTTATTTCTTTCTCTTGTCTCATTGCTGTGGCTAATGTTTCAAGAACCATATTGAACAGGAGTGGTGACAGTGGGCATGCTGGTCTTGTTCCTGATTTTAGAAGGAAAGCTTTCAGCTTCTCTCCATGTAGTAGGATGCTGGCCATTCGTTTGTCACAGATGGCATTTCTAAAACTGAGATAAGACCCTTCTATTCCTATTTTCTTTAGGGTTCTTAATCATAAATGGATGCTTGATTTTGTCAAGTGCTTTTGTTCTGCATCTGTTGAGATGATCATGTGATTTTTTTTTAACCTTTTTTCTGTTTATGTGATATATTTATTGGATTTGCATATATTAAACCATCCCCACATTCCTGGAATGAATCCTACTTGGTCATGATGTATGATCCTTTTCCATGATTTGCTGCATTCTGTCTGGTAGTATCTTATTGAAGATTTGTGCATCTATATTCATTAAAGCAATTGGTCTGTAGTTCTCTTTTTTGGAATCAGGGTAGTGCTTGTTTCCAGGAATGAGTTTGGGAGTACTGCTTCTTTTTTTACTTCATTAAAGAGTTTGAGGAGTATTGGCATTAGATCTCTAAAGGAGGAAAGTAGCAAAGCAGAAGCAGCCTACTTTTCCTTTTTACCGCTTCCAGGCTACCTGCCCTTTGGGTGGTGCCACCCACACCCAGGGTGGGC